CCAGCTTATTTAACCCAGTCTAGATCCTGTCATATTGCTAATCAGTGTTAACCATTACAACTTCTAAACTGCCCTTTTCTTCTGTTGCTGCTCTTGCTGCTCCCTGGGAAAGATCTTCCTCGAGTCCAGCCTGCATCCAGGGCTCTGCTCAGCCCTCTCCCAGCATATGCACATGGATCTCCCAGGCTCAGAACTAGCACAGAAACTTCTCCTAAGGCCAAATACAAATGGCTTTGGATTCCCCACCATTTGGCTGGATTATCTGCACCATTGCTTCCGTCCGTCACTGAGGAGAGCCAGGAAGTGTCTGGACTGTCCTTGGTTTTCCAGGATGACCTTGTGTAGAGCTGATTACAGTGTGTGTGTGTTTGCTCACAAAGCTGTGTGACTGTCATTTCTTTGTTCCCTCTGGTTCTGCAAAGCTTAATCTTTGCCTTATGACTGGACCCCTGAACTGAAGAGGCTGCTGTTGCTCATGGGCTTTCTCACTCCGAAGGGAGTAAGTGGACCCTGACGGTAAAAGACTAAGCACATGCTAAGAACTCCAGGGAGATCTCTGGCTGGACAAGGAGGAGGGAACAATGGAGGCTCACTGTACCAGCTGGAGGAAAAGCCCAAAGAATGGGACAGAGGGGATGTCATGGAGGCCCGGGGCATTTTGAATGAAGTTCAAGTCAGAGTAGGCTGCTTGGGATTAGAGTCAGGTATGTAGAAGATCCCACCAGGACCAGGGAGCTGGAATCCTAGCCTTTTGCTCGTTCCCACAGGAGAGTAGGTTTCCACAAGCACCATCCCTGTGGAGAGTAAGGGTTGAGACCCAACTCTCAGCCTTGGAGAGGCAACAGCAAAGGTGGCCAAGGGCCGATTTGTGCTCAGCCATGGTGGACAGATAGGCCTGGAAAAGCCACATTGGAGGAGAGAGAAGTGTCCCTAGCTTTGAAGGCTTCAGTCAGGTCTCTATTAGGGTTTTTTTGTTGCTGGAGGGCCCCTCTCTCCCCAAGACTCTCTCTAGTCGTCATCAATGAGGCCTCACTTTCTTTCTTTTCCAGCTTCCCTTCGGATCCTCATTCTTTTTCTCCTTCCTTCCTTCCTTCCTTCCTTTCTCTTTTTTTTTGACAAGGAAATATCACAGGTGGGAAGGCAGCAGAACCAGCCTATATGGGTTCAGATTCAAATCTGTCAGTGAGGACTGAGGTTCTCGCTCTGCTCGAGTAAGAATTCCAGAGCTGGGTTTGATCCATGTGTTCATGCTAGACCCCATCATCCTTCCCAGAACAATGTGATGCTCTGATAGGCTGGTGTTGGAGCGAGGAGTAGAGCTGCCTCCACCTAGACAATACAGAGTACAGTGGGGTGATTGCTGGAAGGACAAGGAAGGTGATGATCTCAGAACTCCAAGGCCCAGGTGTCCTCTCTATAGCCTCAAGTTCGTCTGCCTCTAACCCTCACAATTACTTCATTATGTTAAGATCTGGTCACTGGCACCTCCCCTTTAAGGAGGAATGATTCAGGATGCTTATTTACATAAAAATTACTCCTGGACACTCAAAGAGTAAGGCCAATAGGCTTTTCGGAACTCAAGAAAGGAGATATATACATACAACCTTCAGTGGACACCTTCTATCTATCTTTTGGGGAGTCTGATTCTTGAGAATAAAAATTTAGAAAGTTTCACAGTTGTGTTCGGAGAAACCATGAAGACAATCTAAAGGGTCTTGGCTTCCTGCTTACAGATCTTATCAGGGATTTCCTGGAACTCAGCTCTGTTATTCTTCACTGTTGGACTCCAAAGCTTCCCTCTTCCAAGTCTGGTATAGGGCCAGGTATCAAGCCTCAGCAGACCGGACACTATGCAATTTCACTTTCCATAATGCAAGACTTAATTAAAGCGGCCCCCTAGGAGCCGATGAGAGAACTGCTCTGCCTGCCATAAGGGCGGATGGCAATGGTTCCCTGAAAATGTGGGTCCATCCCTCAGGCTGTGAGCCCTTGAGAATAGGAGCTCTTTAGCACCGAATGCTATTTGGTGTATCATCTGTAGATAGCCCTACCTCTGATCTGGCATCCACTGTGGCTTCGTCCCATTCTGGCCTGGCTCCTGAGTGACTGAAAGACGTTAATCATACCTTACAGGGTTTGCTATGCTTTCCTAAAAAAAAAAAAAAAATCCTTAGATTTTGCTTCCGGCCACAAATAACAATATATGTTCATTATAGAAATTTGAAAAAAAAAACCCCAATGCAGTTAAAAAGAAACAATTATAAAATATTTATGCAATTTCCACTAACCTATGCACATAACCTTTTTAAAGAGATCATTGTGTAGAAATATCTATCTTTCTCTTTAATCATATTTTTGTACCATTCTTTCATATTTTTCAGGGCTGACTGTCCCCCTTTCAGTTGCATTTAAATTATGACACATTTTTCTCCCATAATGAATATTATAATGACTATTGTATACTTAGGGAGAAATCTGTGGGAGCGCATGGCTGTTTTCTTGGGATGCGTTCTCAGAGGTAGAACTGCTGGACCACAAAATCTGGGTATTCGTACAGCCTCGGAAGGCTGTTGCTACCACTTACTCTTTGATGCCAACAGTAGTTTCTTCATTCTTGGTTCTGGTCCGAAGACGGGCAGCACCACTTAACACTGAGTGACGCTGGGGAATGCCCATACCAGCACCAGCCCTGACAGAGGAGACTCCCAGCCATAGAACTCTTCGTTCCTTACAAACTAACCCGCCTTCTAGGGCTCAGTTCCTCCCACTGCTTGTCCAAATATCTTGTGTATGCATGTTTGTGTGTGTGCGCACGTGTGCACCTGCACAGGTGCTCATGTGTGGAGGCCAGAGGAAGACACTTTGTGTCTGTTTATCCCCTTCTCTTCCTTATTCTTCTGAGATGTCTATCACTGAACTAGCTCATGGTTTCAGCTAGGCTTGCCCTAGGGAGCCATTTGTAACAACCCCATCCAATGCTGGGGTTACAGGCATATATATATAACCAGCATTTTATGTGGGTGCTGGGGATTCGAACTCAGGTTCTCATGCATGCACTCCAAGCAAGCAGTCTTTTCTATTGAATTATTTGTCCAGTCCCTAAACATCTCTGTTAACATTGAGGTGAATATGGTCTCCACCATTTTTGTATGTGTGTATGTTTGTATATGTGAGGGTGCACCATGCCTATGTATATGTGTGTGTGTGTGTGTGTGTGTGTGCATGCATGCACGTGGAGGACAGAGGTCAGCCTCTAGTGCCTTTCTTTCCTTAAGCGCATTCATCATTTTTTTCTCCTTTTGGAATCAGGGTCTCTTGCTGGCCTAGAACTCACTGAGTAGGCTGAGCTGGCTGGCCAGTGAGCCCCATTCTGGGATTCTAAGCATGTACCATTATGCCTGGGATTTTTTTTACATGTGTTCCAGAGACTGAACACAGGTTCAAGTTTTCCTGACTAAGCCATGTCCCCAGTCACCTAGTCCCCCACCCTGAGACCCTGATGTCTGAAACTGGTGGTGTTGTGTGTCTTTGTTTCATGGCTCAGCTTTTGTTCTGAGTCTGTTAGGGAGGGGCTGCAGGTCAGAACAGCCGTTCTTGAGAACATGTCCATCTCTCTAGGCTTTGCCATTTGGATCTAGTCCAACCAGGAGGGTTATTTCACCTTGACAACAGCTTGGTCTCTGGGATGGCCATAGAGATTTTCCTGGGAAGTGATCTGAGGTGCTTGAGCAGGACATTTTTATTTTATTTTATTTTTTTAAAAAACAAGAGCTGACTATTCTTTGTGGCTTTTTCAGATGCCAGTGATAACTGGCCAAAGAAGGAGATACTTGCTGGAACATTCCCTGGGCTAGCCAGGAGAAAGTCACAGCTGCTCTGGCCAATGGGAACCAGAGCTAATTTGCTCCAAGGCCCTAATTGGCTGATGGTGTAATTACGTGCCTACTATTTTAAGGCCGTGTTTCTAGCCCCAGCTTGGCAGGCTGTCTTGAGGCATCTGGCGGCAATGATCAACGCCTCTTTTTTTCAAGGAGGCTCACAATCGATTCATCTACGGACCCACAAGGACAGACTCATTTAGTAGGGCCAACATGTTTCAAAGAAAAGTATATTTTCATTAACTAGCCTCAAAGCGGTAATTATATGTTCAGAGAACACAGTAAAATTTTATTTCTAAATATTTGGCAGAGAAAGGTTGAAGGCAGTGTGCATGTGTGTGTCCAACATGCTGCATGTGTTTTAAATAAGCCCAGCATCTTCCCCTCCAAAAGGAAGCAGGATATACAATCTCATAGACATCTGAAATTTAATTTTTAGCAACAGGATGTGTTTCTAAATACCACTAACATCAAAAAGAGAGTGTGTAAAGGCTTTAAAATTGTTATCAAAGCAATTGCAAAGCAAATGAGGCGCCTTTCATTTTTTTTCCTCTCCTGTCTCCCCCCCCCCTTCTTTTCTCCTAAGCATAGTGGTGTCTGAACACAAAACCAATCTCCACTGAGAATCAAAAGCAACCTTGGTGTCTTTGCCCGAGATCCTGCTGAACTTGGACGCTCCCCCTGATCGGATTCACAGTTTATAATCACAGTTATCACAGAACCATTAAAAGCCTATTAACTTGAATTCCCACAATTCCTTGAGGGCAAGGGCAAAGAGAGAGAGAGAGAGAAAGAGAGAGAGAGAGAGAGAGAGAGAGAGAGAGAGAGAGAGAGAGAGAGAGGAAAGAGAGCGAGTGTGCGAGCAAAACAACTTGAATGTAAATGTAACACAACACTCGAAAGGAGAGAAGCTCTTAATTATGCCAGCCAAGGAAGAAGTCTCACGGATGTCTCTATACAAGCAGATGGCTGAATGAAAAAAAAAAAAGCCACACGAAGGCTTAGGCACAGGGGTTGCCACAAAAAATGCTTTTTCTGGGAAGAGACTGGTGTAGTGTTGTAGTGGGGGTGGGGCGTGCAATGTCCAGACTTCTCAGGAGGAGGATGCAGGGATCTGTAAGAATGCGTAGCTACTGGTTAGCTTGGCTGAACAAACATATTTTGGTGGCTGATGGGATCAGCCGGAAAAGAATGTTCACCATATTTGGTGGGAGCAAAAACCCCGAAGAGATTCGAGCTATTGTCATGTAAGAAATTTGATTTCTTGTTTCTGCACCCTCCAGTGCCTTCGCTGACATTCCCACTAACAATGCTATTATGGGCCACTCCACGAGACAGTGCAGTCAATAAGGTGTCTTGTGACTCGAGATGAAACAGAGTCCTTATCTCACCAGGAACAATTAGACACATCAAATTACTTTCTAAAAATCATACCGCAGTGAGCCTCGCACATACCAACGGCAGAGCCTGATCCCCAATATCCCAGCTGCTCATGTGAGGCAAAGATGCTCACCCTGCTGGGTCCCCACACCCCACACCCCCAGTAATTTGACCTTAGCCTTCATCTTGTGTTCATAAAGGAATATTGGCGTCATTTGAGGAGGGGCTGCACATTCTCGCTGCTGTCTGAAATGCTGAAGGCCAATCAATCCGCCCTCACCTTAAACGAGTCCTTCCTGCATGGATTACCCACACTCACTGCCCAGCTTGATCTCATTTCTGCAGTGGATGAAGCAAATGACTCAGCCCAGAGGGAGTGAGCTATTGACTAAATGCTTAATTAGGCACACAGCCCCGACGTGGTCATTCTTGTACACTCAGAACGACCGGACCACGGTGTGGCGAAATCATGACTCTGGCTAACTCTCATTCGCTCGAGCCACAGTAGAATCAATGGGGCAGCAATCTAAATTTAACAATAACACAGCAACACTGCAGCCTGTTTCCGTAACTGCAACGAAGCGGCATCCATCATAGGACCCTCTGGGAAAGCAGAATACTGACGTTGTTCTGATGTTCCCATCGGGCACCCTGAAAGGTGGCTATGGTGCAATCCAGAAATGTTTTATTCATTCGTTTGTTTGTTTGTTCAGGAATCTTGTTTGACGCAAGCTCTGATTGAGGTATAGAGCATGGCCAAGAACCTGTGCTTCTGATGAACTCTGGATAATTTCAATGTTCCTGGACCAATCTCCATCATAGGCACTGGAGGCCTGAGTGGAGAGTTCCCTCCCACAGCCCACTCAAAACGTCAGAAGGAAGGAGGGTAACCCTCACAGCTGACAGTTTCCTGGCAGGACATGGTGGGAACCAGCATGGGGGGCCATGTCTGGGTCTTCATTGTTTCCTGAACTGAGTAGCAGGTGGCTCAAGTGTAGAGACCTGTACAATGGGACTTAGCACCCTGTCCACTTCCTGTCAGCCTTGGGAGGCTCACTCTCCAAGCCAAAAAAAAAAAAAAAAAAAAAGTCTTGGAATGTGAAGAAAGAGCAAAGACAAGAAAGGACAAATTTGTGGTCATCCACACGATTAACTCAGTTGATGAACCCTGTGTCCCCATGGAGCTGCAGAGCAAGGCTGAGAGCCAGGACTCTCAGCCCAAGTCTGTCTTTTATGACTTTGTCTTATTGTCTTTGTAACAAGGCTCTTTTATTAGCTCACGATTTCCTGCCAACTTGATGAAATCTCCATTATGCTTTATAGTTCGAAATAAGAGGGTAAGGTGGTTTTTTTTTTTTTTTTTTAAAGTCTCCTGTTTAGAGACCCTGCCTCCCCTGCTTCTCCCTCTGTGTCTCCGCAGGGGTGGGACTGAACTCCTTGCCACGTTCCTAGCCACTGCTGATTTTCTCTGTAGCTGAAAATAGATATTTATTTTGCTGGTTTGTTTCAAAATTCTAGGGCTGCTGTTTTCCATCTTAGAGCGTCGTTTTGAGTCACACGTGTAATTACTGCTGTCATTTATTCTCTGTTTTTGGACAGCTATCCCGTTCGATCTGTGAAGACAAAAACAGCGGTTGGAGCGGCACGCGCCTGTAATCCCAACACTTAGAAGGAAGAGACGGGCCGGCTTAGAAGTTCAAAGTCATCCCTAGCTGGAGAGAACATGTGAGGCCAGCCTGGGATACACGAGTCCGTATCTAAACAAAATCGACCAACCAGCCAACCAAACAATTAACCAACTAATCCAACAGACGAGCGTCTGTCTTTCTAGAGGTGAAGCAAGCTGGAGCAGGATGCTCCACTCAACCTCATCTAACACTGAACCAGAGAAGCAGAGGGGGAGATGACAACGAACTGGACATTCCCACCTGCTGCATTTTAGGGTAAGATTTCTCAGATTTCTCTTCATAGGAGATGTTTTTCATCTTGGGCCTGGCTCAGTGGGTAAAGGGTTCAAGAACCCGAGTTCATATCCCCAGTATTCACATAAAAGTCAGGAGTGGTGACCCACATATGTAGCCCCAGCGCTGGAGGAAGGGGTGGAAACCAGTCTAGCTGAAATGGTAAGCTCCAAGTTTAGTGAGAGACTGACCCTGACTCAGAACACAAGGTGGGGAGGGACGGAAGATACTGGAAGGAGACCCTACTTCTCCAACCCCCACGCATGTGTACATACATGTACCCCAATATGTTCATATACATGCACACACACTTCCCCACACATATGCATACCAACACACACATGTTCACACCAAACACACATGCACACCCCACGTGTGCATGCACATGCATACACACAAATGCATGCACATAGACGCAAAAATATTCCCTTGAGAAAGTTGCTTTGTTGCTGCCTATTCTTTTCCTGTTTGTGTGTGTACGTTTTTGTGGGAGGGTACACATGTGTGTGGATATGCAAGTATATGTGTGCTCATGCATGTGGAGGCTGGAGGGCAACCTTGGGAGCCACTCTTCGGTCATGGTTTGCCTTATTTGGAGTCGGGGTCTCTCCCTGACCCGAAGCCTATTTCCTGGGTATAGCTGACTAGTCATTGAGAGCCAGGGATGTTTTCTCTACCTCCTAGGTCCTGGGATCGTAAGCATGCCAGCACGCACAGCTTTTGAAAATGTGGGTTCTGGAAACGATTTCTGGTTTTCCTACTTGTAAGGCAACCACTTTACAGACTGAGTCATCTCTCCAGTCTAACTCACTGATTCTGGAGCCTCTGCCTCCCGTTGACCAGCGGATCATGGTCACAGAGGTCTAGGTGCCTGTTTGTAGCTCCCAGGACTGCCTGGATGACCTACCTCTTTGCTCTCCCATCCAGCCTCCGCTCCAACCCATGCATGGCCTCCTCCAAAGTGTCCAAGCTACCCTGTCCTTTTAAAGAACAGCTCTTCTGCTCTTTAGTGAGAAAACTCCTCTGGATAGCAGGCCTCCAGCAGACTGTCCATCTGCCTGGACTGTTTTCTCCCTCTTTCCTGAGCTCACTGAAGTCATTCTTTATTCTTTTTAATTACCTTCCAGATTCAGGCTTCTCTGCCAGATAGTCTCCAGGAACCTGTACCTCTCCTGGTTATAACCAGGTACCTGTGTAGCAAAGCCTGTCTCTCTATCGGCCAGCCAGCTCAGTGAGAACTGAGACAGCATCTACAGTATTTATCACAGCATTTGGCATGCAACAACTCCCAGCTAAACCTTCTCTGGAAAGCTCTTAAAAAGTGTAGAGTGACAGGCCTGATCCACATGTTTGTAACTCCACAATTGGGAGGTGGAGAGGATCAAATCATCCTCTAAAACAAGGAGCAGCCTCTGGCACTAAAACACATGGCAGAGATGGACATGTGGGCCTTCCATAAACCCTTGGATGCTTTGGGCAGACATTGCCTGAACTTCAAAGTCATCTGTGAAAAAAACACAGGGTGAAACCATTTGCTGTAAATGTAGAAGACAGTTCAATGAAAATAATGTGTGTCACTCAGAGATTGGGGACACTGTTCCTTGAATGTGCTGCTGAAGCCACATTTGCTGTTCAATGAGGGCTGGTGCTGGTGACTGCAATGGTGCCGGCCCACAGTGGGTTTGCTGTAATATTTGTGGAAGTATCATTTTTTTTTTTTAAAAAAAGTTAAGACACATTCTTGTGGATGCACCATCTTTCTGTCTAGCTAGTGGAGGACTGCAACTGAGCGGTCCTGCTTGATGCTTCCATGCAAATGGCTTTAGCACATCTGGTCCAGTGGGATTCTATTACACATTGCAGCTGTGTGCCCACGCTGAGTCACTCCCCTCCCTTGCCAATGGAGATAATTACTAGTACCTGCTTCGGTTCCTATTAATGTCTCACTGAGGAGACTGGTGGTGCATTCCAGCACAGAGGAGGCAGGGATGTGGAGATGGCTCAGTGAGTAGTGCTCGCTGAACAGGCATGAGGACCCGAGTTCAGAGGCAGAGCATCCGGGTACAAATCTGGCACTGTGCTGTGCATTCGTAACTCCAGCTCTGGGGAGGCAGAGACAGGCAAATCCTAGAGACTTTCTGGCCAGCTAGTCCAGCCAAAAACACAGGGAGCTTCAGGTTCAGTGAGAGACCTTATCTCAAAAACAAAAACAAACGAACAAAACACAAGGTAGCAAGTGATACCAACATTGGCCGCCAACCTTCATATGTATAAACACACATGTGCACACAGATAGAGACAAAGAGGAGCAAGGGGATGAGGGATGGGAAACAGACACAGCTTACTGAAGTCTCTTCTAAGAGCTGGGGACAGCATCACAGGAACTGACAAGGAAAATACAGCTCCCGGGAGCAACAGTTGCAGGAGGCTTGTGCACCCTGAAACCAAAGGGTGCCTTTAACAGGGATAGCTGTGGTTGTGAAGACAGAGCCATCGATGCGGGTAGAGATGCTTAGCTGCTTCCAAGCCATGGCTTTTTAGGGAAGGAACCTGGAAGCTCAGCAATTTATCTCAGAAGTATATTAGAGAGTATCATATATAGTTCTTCTCTATCCTGTGCTCAATGGTATTAGTAGCTTGAAATCCACCAGCAGAAGCCCTCACAAAGTAGAAATGAACAAATCCCACCACAAATCAGACTGATAACCTCCCAGAGAGCTGAGCGCCACCTGCCAGAGGAGCACAAGCCTCCTGCCCCTTCTGCCTCTGGCCTTTCTAGTCCCCATCAGTGCTTCCCTTCTGGATGAATTAAGCCCGAGACAAACACTAGGGAATAGATTATGCAGTTTTTACACATCAAACCCCTGGGTGCACAGCAGGATGGGAATGAATCGGCAGTGGGTTAG